CCTCTACCCTTAGTATCTATGTACATCCACTCAAGCTATAGAAATCAGAATTTAATACATGAACCTTGCTATTCTCCAAAACAAATTTGGATTTTGTTTGTGTCACCAAATCAAGCTTAGCTTTAGCAGAGTGTAACTTAGTCACTAGGTTCTTCACTGCATCATCCTGAAATTCCAAAGAGAAATGAAACACTGAAACTCCATAATAGCTAGAAGGATCATGAAATGACAGTCATTGAGTATATTTGGCTCAGTAACAATATTATGGTGTGCTAAGGATCTTCCAAAATATGCTCAGTGATAGACACTAGCACTCAACTGTGGATCAAACTTCACAATAAGTTCACTTTCTTTGTTCAAAAAAAAAAAAACAAAACCTTCACAATAAGTTGGTGAGGTTGCAAGGGGTTAGAGCCCCCTTGCTTGAAGGTGGGGGCTCAGGGCCTTAGCCCTTACCCGAATTCTGGAGTAAAGATGTTTTGGTATTTCTACATCTGTGACATGTAGTTCTGATACTATGTATATGCAGACTCTGGACATTGTCTTAATTTTGAGGTGCATCACATTAATCTTATGTTTTTGTGAGTGGGTGTGATTTATACTCTTGTTTATTATTCTTCTCTATTTTTTCATATCTCACCTATCTTGATTAGGTTTTTAGGTGTTCTACAATTCTTAACATGAACAATGCACAAATATACTCTGCAAAGCATGTAAAAAAGGCTACTTACCATACAAAGCATCACCCTTCTCAGCATGTTCAAATTCAGAAAGGGTTGCCAGTATAGAGTGTAGCTTAACTCTTCCTCCATGAAATCATTAAGGTATTAATGATGAAAGGAAAGCAAATGCAGGCCAAATTAGCCTGAAAACATGCTTCACAAGATGAATACAAGATTTAGGAAAGCAGCCACCATCATACCTACCTTCATTTTGGAAACATCATCTTTGATATTCTTTTAAAGCTTCAAGCACTGCTCATTAATCCGAGTGGAGTTCCCAAGCTCCAAAACCTCTGGAACAAAATTTCAATATCAGAATCTCAATATCAAAATCTCAATATCAGAACCCCTGAAACAAAATTTCAATATCAGAACCTCTAGAATTTACCTCATCTCCCATTTCCCATTTCCCATACATCCCAAACTCTTTAACAGTCACCAAAAGCTACATAGGGAAACAAATAGAATTTAGTTTGTTGTCATATTAGAACAACAAAACTCTTTATGTACCTCTATTAAAAAGTTCAGGAATAAACTCATTTCTATCATTTAAGTAATGGGACTGTTGAAGTTGACAGATTCTAATTTTCTCTTTCACAAATCAATGTGTTTCTATCCCCATTAGTTTTGAGTGACTTTTACCCCCAAATTTTATGGCACTAAATATGAATTGATAAATTAACTAGTAAGAAAAGCAGAATGGGGTCTCGAAGACTTACAGCCATATCGCCTTCCTCACCCATAGCAACAGCTGCGCGTACAGCTACCCATCTTATATCATGGAAGAAAAGCTTGTGCCCATTAGGAAGAGGTTGATAGTAATCATTCTCTCCATGTTTCAAAATCTTTTCATAAATTTTTTTTAGAAACAACCCCTTTTCTAGAAAAATTTCAAAAACTGTTTTAGCACAAAATGAAAACTAGGTGTTTTGAACTTTATATTGTATTCATTTCTAAAATCACAAAGAAAAAACATAAAATGAAGGAATTTGGATTATATTTTTGGAGACCAAAACTTTCTAGTTTCCAGTAGATCAATCAGTCAAGTAGCATTAATCTAAAATTGAGGAATTCATGAACCAACCTGGATGGTTTTATGATTCCATTGACATTGTGAAGTATCTTAATAACCCTTTTCTTAGATCAAGAAAGCCCAACCATTCCAATGATTCCCTACTCACATTACAATTCAACATAAAGAGAACAATCTTCAAATATCACATTATTAAATTTAAGATGATACACTACACTCACAGAAAGTTTTTTAAGAGAAAATAAGCAAATTTTCTGCATAGTTTTCAATCCACACAGCAGATATTTGAATTTTACATGTGCTTTTAGTGATCTAACTTGCTTCATTATCACATCATATAACCAAATTGTCAAAAAACAACTGACCAGTAAATACCAAAATAGCAAATAAACCTGCTGCTCTAATCAAAACCGAGCAAAAAAAATTCTTCATGAAATAAATAAAAAGTCAAAAGCTTATACGTACCAGTTGTTAATACTTCTATACTCTAAAAACAAACAAGCCAAGACAACCTAACCTACCAAATGTAACTTTAAATGCATTACCCAGACAATAACATAACTGCCAAAGCATGCTTTTCTTCAAAAACAAATGGACTTCAAGCCAAAACACTTTTATATGAAAAAAAACTAACCTACTTCAGATTGCACACATATTCACATAACATAAACTTATGAAATTGTCTTCATAATTTAGAGGAATTTACGGACATGCTACGGATTAGAAGACCAATGGAACAAAAATGCGAAAACATATCATCCATTTTAAAGAAAGCCCACACCCTCCCTTAACATGAATCATAGCTAAGCTAATCACTATGTCAATAAGTAGGTAGGATACGTGCATTGCTTCAAAGACATGTTTGTTGGAGTCAAAATCATTACTTAACAGAGGCACCAAGGGGTTTAACTCCTGGGAATTCAAAGTTTAATTCAACTTCTGCGTGTATATGTGAGTGTGATTATTATAATTAAGTACATTTTTACTATGTTTTTGACAAGTACAATCCATGTTCGCATGGGAATTCTAAGTATAGTTTCGTATCTGTTTCTCACAGGGCAACACTCGGCATCAAAATTTAGACTTATTATCCGCCAAGTAGTCCAAAATTTAGAAAAAATTGAGAAAGTCACAATCTAATTTTATATGATTGAACTCAAAAAATACCATCCTCCTTTTTCTTTCTTTCTTTATTTCTTTCTTTCTTTTTTTTTTTTTTTAAATTGTGCTAATTTTATATGATTGAACTAAAAAAATACCTGTAATAAAACTGAATAGCACTAATATGAAATAATAACTCTCATTCAAATAGCAAATGAAAAATTAATTCACTTTCCCATTCAATTTAATATCCAATCACCATTACCCACAAAATAACATATCCACAAATGATATTTTAACATTACCCACAAAAGTGTTCCTGCAATATTCTATCCTTACCTTGAGAGCTAATACTAAATGCTTGCTGTTGACATTCCCAACCTCCATTTCCAGAGGATTTTTTATCCATGGATTATGAGCTTCTTGTTCTGAGCAGCTTCTGAAGAATGGAGGCTCGTAATCCACAGGCTGCAAGATCAATGTGTGAGTGACTATATTTTTCTGTGGTCAAATAATACAGAGAGAAGAGAAGGATTTTTAGATGCATTATTGGGATAATGACAAGCCAAAACACCCAACATCTGTAAGATTCAAATGTCCCTATCTTTACCAGAATTTCTCATTCCAACAAAACTGTAGTTTAAAAAGAACACAATTCTAATAGCATAGAGATAATTTATAATTAGATAATATCATTGGACAACTAATAGAACAAACCACAAAAGATGCTAATTTATGGAGATCATGTGCAGATACTAGTGCTTATGAAGTACACAAAAACTGCAATCAGAACATAAACTGCAATCAAATTCATCTAAATAAACACAAATTGAAGAATTTACACCCAATACAAATGAACTTGATATAGACTGCAATTTGGCACAACAGTTATTAGAGTGCAAGTGAAGCCAATCTTAAAGCTTCCATTAATCTTGTCTATGTCATTATGTAGTAGATGATCATAAACCACCAAAATATTTGGAATAGAATGTAAAATTACCTCTATGTATGTAGCTATAGCAATCTTATTAGAACCACCAGGCTCCTTCAAGTTGTTTAAAGCATCCATGATAAGATTGTCCAACCTATTACAATGAGAATGAAGCATTACTCAGTGTTTAAATAATCACATTGAAAGCAGAACTGGAGAGAGACATTACCTAACCTATACAACTTTAATTCACTGCAACAACCTTGGCTAAATTGTAAACAAACTTACAATCACAAATCAGAACAAGAAAATCCAAATTAGTTTCATGCAGCTAATACCAGATATTATAAACGACATGATAAAATGCAAGATGCACATATGAGGATTTCATATCAAAATTGGTTGGAAAAAAATTTACTAATCTTTTGAGAGAGATAATAAATGAATGAAGAAATTTTAAAGGTAATCACAAGTTCTGAAATTTATCTGCATTCAGTCTAACAACAGGGATCCACGTGATAGTTTCATTGTTAATATATGGTATCTTATTATGTAAATCAATAAATACCTAATTATTGAAGGATGTTGGTGGATCAAATTGGAATGGAGATTCCTCCAGGTATGACACACATGCTCACATGCATTTGTCTATAGACACATGCCCCTGTTTGGCAAACAAGTTTTAGCAGCTTTTTTTCCCTTTTAGACCAAGAGACAATTTTGTTTGGCAAATGCTTTTCAGATGACAAACCCAAAAAGCTCAGTTTTTTTAAAAAACAGAAGGTAGGCGCAAAAACAACTTTTTTAGTAGTTTGTCAAATGCATCAGTTTTTTTAGCAAATGCCCCGCCCCCAACCCCCCCCCAAAAAAAAAATAAATAAATAAAAAAAAAACCCCACAAAATCAATATGTTGCGTAAGCATTTTGGCTTTGTTACAAAAGTTAGGAAATTTAAAAAATTTTAAAAAATGAAATTTGACCAATATTAAACATTTTATTTTATTTTTTGGATTTTTTTTTCCTGGAAAGAAAAGAGAGATGGAGAGTAACGGATATTATTACCTTTGAATACTCAATAGAGGATTATTGTGTTTTCATATAATTATTACTAGCATATCATCCGTGCTATGCACGGGTTGTATTTACAATTATCTATATATGTGAATTGTGATTTTTAAATATATTTTTTTAAATGTCTTTTTTTTTCCAGAACCACAGCCACCACAGTAAAGCAATTTAAAAAGGAAAATTATATCTATATAATGACATCCAAGACAATATGAAGCAGTAAAAGTCAATGTCGATGCGAGGAGAAATGAGAGATTGGTTACCAATTGAACAAAATATGCTTCCATGCCTATTGACTGTCGTACATTTGTCCATCCAAATTTCATAGCAAGTTTCTAAATGATTTACCCCAAAATCACCATCTTATTCCTTTGATTTACTTTTCCAAAATAACAAGAGACTAAAAACTCCATATAGTGGTTTTGCTCTATTGATCAAATGACTGACCGCAAAAATTGAGAGCAAACATTAACTTAAAATTTTCGAACAAGGGACCAAGTGGTCCTACAATATTCTATCCTTACCTTGAGAGCTAATACTAAATGCTTGCTGTTGACATTCCCAACCTCCATTTCCAGAGGATTTTTATCCATGGATTATGAGCTTCTTGTTCTGAGCAGCTTTTGAAGAATGGAGGCTCGTAATCCACAGGCTGCAAGATCAATGTGTGAGTGACTATATTTTTCTGTGGTCAAATAATACAGAGAGGAGAAGGATTTTTAGCTGCATTATTGGGATAATGACAAGCCAAAACACCCAACATCTGTAAGATTCAAATGTCCCTATCTTTACCAGAATTTCTCATTCCAACAAAACTGTAGTTTAAAAAGAACACAATTCTAATAGCATAGAGATAATTTATAATTAGATAATATCATTGGACAACTAATAGAACAAACCACAAAAGATGCTAATTTGTGGAGATCATGTGCAGATACTAGTGCTTATGAAGTACACAAAAACTGCAATCAGAACATAAACTGCAATCAGATTCATCTAAATAAACACAAATTGAAGAATTTACACCCAATACAAATGAACTTGATATAGACTGCAATTTGGCACAACAGTTATTAGAGTGCAAGTGAAGCCAATCTTAAAGCTTCCATTAATCTTGTCTATGTCATTATATAGTAGATGATCATAAACCACCAAAATATTTGGAATAGAATGTAAAATTACCTCTATGTATGTAGCTATAGCAGTCTTATTAGAACCACTAGGCTCCTTCAAGTTGTTTAAAGCATCCATGATAAGATTGTCCAACCTATTACAATGAGAATGAAGCATTACTCAGTGTTTAAATAATCACATTGAAAGCAGAACTGGAGAGAGACATTACCCAACCTATACAACTTTAATTCACTGCAGCAACCTTGGCTAAATTGTAAACAAACTTACAATCACAAATCAGAACATGAAAATCCAAATTAGTTTCATGCAGCTAATACCAGATATTGTAAACGACATGATAAAATGCAAGATGCACATATGAGGATTTCATATCAAAATTGGTTGGAAAAAAATTTACTGATCTTTTGTGAGAGATAATAAATGAATGCAGAAATTTTATGGGTAATCACAAGTTCTGAAATTTATCTGCATTGAGTCCAACAACAGGGGTCCACGTGATAGTTTCATTGTTAATATATATATCTTCTTATGTAAATCAATAAATACCTAATTATTGAAGGATGTTGGTGGATCAAATTGGAAGGGAGATTCCTCCAGGTATGACACACATGCTCACATGCATTTGTCTATAGACACACATGTATTTGTCTATAGACACATGCCCCTGTTTGGCAAACAAGTTTTAGCAGCTTTTTTGCCCTTTTAGACCAAAAGACAATTTTGTTTGGCAAATGCTTTTCAGATGACAAACCCAAAAAGCTCAGTTTTTTTAAAAAACAAAAGGTAGGCGCAAAAACAACTTTTTTAGTAGTTTGTCAAATGCATCAGTTTTTTTAGCAAATGCCCCGCCCCCAACCCCCCCCCAAAAAAAAAATAAATAAATAAAAAAAACACC